GGACCTAGACTAAATGACCAAGTTGCGAAAGTGGCCTCTCTTCATAAAAGGAAACTGGAATGAAAACATGCTACAGCGTATTGATACTTAAATCTATGATTACAGATCGTTATATTCACTAAACAATGCAAACTAATCACAGCGCCTGTTACTAAACCATATTAGTAGTGTTGATTGAACTTCTTTTCGCAACTTGGAGATCTTGTGGAGCGTACCTAGTCCTGTGTCCTCGGTCATAGTATTCGTGATTTCCAGCATGACCAGTTAGAGGCTCCATATTCACAACAAATCAGCAAAAGTTGAAGGCAATCCCCTTGATCAACTTTATATTCATTCGTTGTGACATTCCTCGCACCTAGTCATTGTCATGCCTTCTTGTTCTTCATGTCTTCCAACTCCACTACGTATCGCCCATTTACCTAATCATACCATTCTGTGCTCGTTTACTTCAATGTTGCCTAAGCGTGTGTCGCCACAAGTGGATTTAGTGAAAAGTAGTCACCTTCATCGGTTTCAGATGCCGTCTTCAGGGCTTCTTGCTTTCATTTAGCCGCTGCCAACTCGCTTCAATGCTACACTTGAAAGCCACTATCTACCTTTTTTACATCATATTCGACGATTTAAAGCCAGCGATTCCCATGTCTAGTCATGACATGAATATTGCAACCACACTATGCAATAGCACATACCCAAACATGAATCAACATTTGATGATCGTAAGCTAGTTTACTTATGTAACGAAATAGCTGCCACCCACTCCACTTCAGGTTCGTGAATTGGCATTATTCATCTGCAGGCATGTAGAATAAATTAGAAGGAGCCAACCAAATGATAGGATGCCCCGTTGGGATCTCAAAATTAGGTGCATAAAAAGCCACCTAGGCTCGCAGCCGGCCACGTTTCCTCTTAGTTTAGAGTATTTTTGCTCTATTTAATAAAGTATGGATTCTTACTCTGATGATGCCTCTGACAATACAGACGAAAACTCAAACAGGTTGATGGGGGTCGCAGGACAGTAAGCCGAGGACTTTTTGGCACAATCCAACAGTCTTCCTCCCGCTGTAACCCTTCTTTTCCCGTCGAGACTATTTTACGAATTCCTTCCAACCAATTTTCCCATCAAATTGAAAGTCGTCACAATATAGAAGGCGATTCAAGGGTGTTAATGGGAAGCTGTTCATTTCAATACCAGCGGTTCTGAATTAACCTAGTTACAGGGGCCCAGAGAATGAGAGGGAGTTGTGTGTGTATGAGAAAGAGGATAACTTGGTGATAGGTCTCAAGCATAGGGAGGGGAAAATGTCTTTACGTGGTAATGAGAGGCTTTAAATTCTCGATAGTAACTCCCATGCGGGACAGGGATTAGTTGACAACCGGGTGGAAACGAAGCCTATATAAAAGTAAGAAAACATGAACCAAAAGCCCTGTAAAAAGTATTTGAAGCCGGTGGAGAGAGTGATTACGCTTCACTAAATCTACTTGTAGCGACACTTAGGTTACATTGGAGTAAACGAGAGCACAGAATAGTAAGTGGGCGATATGAAGTAGGGCTGAGAGATTCAGCACAATTTTGAGCGAAGACTAAGGGGGCAGGAGTGATGCCACAATGGTTGAATAGAAAATTGGTCAGGGAAATTAACAACCTGTCACTTGTATACGTCGTAACTATGTGCTAATAATGGGGACTCACTGACGATGTCGTTGAAGCGCATGCGACCAAGTCACTGGTCCACTGCTGGAAATCACAAATACTGGCAAAGACGCAGGACTAGGTACAGCCCGCAAGGTCGAACCAACACTATGCTGATAAAGGAGACTGCTACTAAGCAGAAAGCTATTCAATCTTGGTTTTTACATCTACAATATTAATATAGTTTCAAATGACGTCCATGACACCAACTGACTGATTTCGTGAGCTGGGTCCATCGCTCCACAGCATTTAATAGATGAAAGTGTTATAGTCCAGTGTTCTTCTTACATGCTCTTTCTACAATTAGGTCTAAAAACATTGTTAATAACAAAATTGGCCTCATAACTCGATCAAAATCTCACCAGTTACTTTAATTTTTGCAAGCGTTTTCAAAGGCATTTTACCCCAAAAAGCTGCACTTAAATAAGTAACCAATCAGCACTGTCTTCCCCTTAATTGCTAAGGGATTTGGTCTTACACAATACATTTCGAGTTTGGTATATATCGACTCATTTGTTTTTTCTCAAGTCTTTAAGCAATTCCGCTCAAACTGACATCACAGCACAAAATCCACCTATCGTGTATTTGCGTCCCAGTAAGGCTAGTTTGAGCATCAAGAGAAGCCAAGCTAATTCAGCATCAGTAAGCAACGCTCAATATGTTGATCACAGGACAACTCTGGCCGCCGAAAAATCACAGCCCGCTAATTATCATTCAGCAGTGGAAATGAAGAAGAGCATTCTGATACAGCGACACTACCTATTAACCTCAACTTTTTGCGCATAAGGTCCGATTGCAACAACATGGACAACTAAATACTTTTATCAAGGCAAAGAACGAAGTAATTCAGCCACACTAATTACGCGGCACAAGTCATTGCATGCCTGCAGTGATAATAGTCAGTCATTGCCTCTGCATCCAGAATAACATCTTGATATTTTAATTTGCTTACGCATCGATTTTTAATTCAGATTTCGCCCTTTCTTACACTGGGTTCTTTGAAAATCATGCCAGGAGGCAGATCGCAAAAGTGGTTTTTTAATCAGCACAGAGTGTCTCATATTGCCTACAAAACTGAGTATGCATGTGAAAGGCAAGTAAGTAGCCCAGTGTTAAATTTGAACACCAAATATATTTGCTTCAATAAAATTAGAAGCAATACCACCAAAACGTAGTAAAGGTAGATACGAAGAGAAACTTGGCTTCGATGAATCTCCTGAGATAACATTGTTAGGGGGACCTTCATTTCGAATGAAAGTACATGATGATTGCTGCCAAGGATGGGAATCTCTAAAAAACGGAGTATAGTTATATAAGCGACTAAGCATACGGACACAATCAGGATAAGGTAAGAAGAAATATGTAAGCTAAATTTAGATGAGCTAATAATTAGGATTGCGATGTAGACTGAGGCACCATAATTACATTACGCCTACACACCCAGTGACGAAAGAGATTCGAATCATTTATGATAAGTATGGACAGAACTCCGTCTTCTCGCTAGTTAATTTCTTGAAACTAAGTCTTGAAAGCGAACGGATGCTTGAAGTGTAATAAAATCGTTTCATAGACTGGTTGCGTAAATGGCTTCCTATTTCCAACAACTAGAGAATACTGCAATTTGCTGAGAGAAGCAAGAGAAGCAAAGTAGATTATATATTTATGATAATTGTGCAATTAATTTATGTGGCACAATGCTGCAAAGAATCAAAATTCTGAATAAAAGTATCACTAAGTTTTGAGTGGGATATTCTGAAGGCTAATGTGTCACATGCTTCAGGCGGGAGTAAAATCAATTACTCAAGTTGGTACATTTTAAGTCTTGGAGAAATAAATAAAACTAAGATTTGTAGCTGCCCCAAATGAAGTTACAAAAATTTAATTTAAAAGATGCGCTTGCTTCAAGGAGGTGAGCAGGCTAGCGACGCCAGGGAACACAAGTTCAGGACGAAGTTTAGGGACAGAATCGTCTAAATTTTTCAAATCATCTGCACTCGTTACTCCAGTCAATACACAAGCAGTATGCATCCCAAAATTATTGCCGAAGAAGATGTCTGTATTCAACCTTAAAAATTCAGCATGTTTAAATAATTGAAAAAAAAAATCAAAAAAGCTTTCCTGTTAAAATATAAATACAATGTGTTGGGATTCACTGTCGCAGAATATTATTTTCGAAATATAAAACAAATAAAATGCATACATTTCTATTTGGAAATAATCCTTAATTTTCAGTTGATAGATCGCGAATTGAATAGCAGACATAATATATGATAAAACAGAGGAAGACAGGCCCTATATCGCACTATATAAGTTCCAAGTAGAAGAAAAATAGGGGGTCTGGCTTATAGATACATTTGGCTTGATTATTACTGCTTCTCTCATAGAGATAATTTGATATTTACTGGACACTGAATGTTATTCTGGCAGCCAGTATCTTGATTTCCACCGTTTGAAGGTCCACTGGTTGAAGAATATGCTCTCAAGCTCAAGTAAAAAGAATTATCAGACCATATTGGGTTCAACTATTCTCAGAGCTATATATGAATTGGAGTATTGCACCAAGCGGGGAGTAAATACGCTTTTAAAATCGAAAAAGAGTTTGCAAGTGGTAGTTATTTGTTGGGACGACAATTTATGTTGAAAAACATCAATTATAAGTTTAGCGTGGTTAATAAATTTAAATTAAAAGCGATTTAGCATGAGTGAATGGCATTTTACATCTCTTTGGTTACCTGCATAGCGATCTTTTGTGTGATATGCATGTCAAATAAAAAAAAAGGAAAAAAGAGGCTGAAGATAAGTATATAGATTCACTGTGAATCCTTGTGTTGGGATTTTCCTATCCATAAATCCGTATAGACTTGGAATATATATATATATATATATATAAAGTTTCTGACGCTAGATTTTATGGGAAATTATCGTACTTCCTATAGATTTTGAGGTCGTGTTTTTAACTAC